ATATATATATATATATATATAAAGATTTAAATGATATTAGTATGATTTTTATCAATTATTATATTGATTAATAACTTTTGATTAAATATGAATTTTTTAAAATTTGTGAAAGTACCTTATTCTTAGATTATATGTATAAAATTTTATATTAGTTGAAGATGATTTGCGATACCTTATTTTTACAAAACGAAATTAATTGACAAAATATATTAAAATGTGAATATTTTGATTATCTCACTAGTATAAAAAGGTTAAATTTACGTCGGTTACTTTAAGCTTTTATGTCAAAAAAGGTCTGATGTAAATGCGGGAGACGTAAATTTACGTCGGTTGTGATAGCCGATGTAAACTTATGTCGGACACTCACAAGAGCCGACATAAAAAAGTTGTAAACCAAAAAAAAAAACATAATGCGTGTAAGCAGAATGGCCCGTTTTCCAAGCAGAAAGACCTGTTCTACATGGAGAACGATCCGTTCTGCTTGGAGATCCACCCAAACGCGAAGAATTTTCTACTTAATATTAACTAATATATTAACAAACGATGATCCACCCAAACGCGAAGAAGAGGATAATATTAACTAATATATTAATAGATCAATACATACATTTATTTTCAACATATTAGCTAATATATTAAGAAAGGATTTTCCAAACTAACCTCAAACGCGAGCCAATGCAATCGGTCAAAAACTCAAGAACCACCGAAACGCGCAAACGTACACTCAGATGCAATACACTCAAACGAAATCTTAACTCAGAAGACTTGAATTGCACATACACTCAAAGCTCTCTTGTTTAAATATTGACGCACACGCGAAAAAATTTGAAATTTGTAGATATTTTTCGTCGGACCTCGTAGGGGCCGACGTAAATTGGAAAATCTATGTCGGACACAAGTTATATCCGACATGGATTTTCTTTTTTACGTTGGTCTCTATGAGGTCCGACGTAAAAAACTTGATTATAATTACAAAAATGCTACCGCAATTTTTTATCGTCGGATTTTTCTTTGTCCGACAAGAATATAGTAACGTAAATTACCCTTTTTTTACTAGTGCCTTTAAACTATTCAATTTTAATAAAATTTGATATACACATACAAGGTAATATAAAATTATAATTCAATAGTTAGATTAACAAAATTTATATTTAATTGAAATTTAATGAACGGTATAATAATTAGTAAAAATTACACCAATCTTATTTAATCTATATATCCTCTCTTTTCTCTCTTTTCTCTCTTTTCTCTCTCTCTCTCTCTCTCTCTCTCTATATATATA